AATTCCTTTCAAATGGCGCAAAATTTTTCAATTCAAATTAAGCTTTCTAAATCTGACTCTCTTCATAGATGCCAACTGCAACATCTCTTTGTACCATTTTTCAACCTTTGGGAATGTTCTACTGTAACTTCCCATGCCTTTCACCTGTGTGTCAGGTCCATGTGGGTTTTTCTGGCTTGGCCATTGCTTTAAGGGAAGAACAAACTTGTTAATGGACTGGACCTCAGATGGTACCCGGGGGGGGGCGGTCTCATCTGCCATGTCTTTGCTGGAAAATTAATTTTGATGGAGAGGAAGATGATTTATTCCGTCCCTCCTGGTATCTTCCTTCAGTCATTCCAGTTGTCCTTTCTGCTCAGGGCTCCGTCTCCCCTACCCCTGCCTAACACCAACCAAAGATGTTGTTTGCATTACCAGGTTTATGATGATGCACCCTTAGACCTTTGGATTTACTATGGCAGAATTGGGACATTATTTGACCTATTTGATCATGGCCACATCTTGCCTTACTTATTGTCACAACCCAAGGGTGTGATTTTGTGTGTGCGCGCTTTGGCACTGCTAAATTATTTCCCACCACGAGGAGCTTTCTTTGCAAGGTGCATTTCTCAGTTGCAAAGAGAAAACCCCGGTGCAAAGGAGTTCCCGCCACCCGCATGCAAATTTGTGTCCCACTATTGGCCAGTTCTAAATTATTCCGACGTGGCAGCTAGCGATTGGCTTGCTAGCCGTATAAGAGGCTTGAGAGGTTTCCGCCCAAGTTGGAGGACTCCACAACCATCTGGAGGAGGAGGACTTCACGTCTCGTGAAGAACTCTAAGCGCTGCGGAGCCTAACGGACCCAGCGTGTACCTTAAGAAGGCTATAGGGGTCTGATCAACCTCTGGCCTCTCCCCGTTGCCGAGCGATCCCTCGATGAACCCCTTCCCTGCGCGCAAGTTCCACGGAGTCTAGCAAACTTCGTGTGAGTGTATCCAGAGCTCTGTCCGGGTTCGAGTCCTGCAGGTTTATTTTCCCATGTGTAAGTAAAATAATCTTTAATCAACCGCTACGCGTCCGTGCCTAATTCTAGTCCGCCGGCCTGCATTCCCCGACCCGTGTGCCAGGGCTGCTGGCCACAGCCCGCCGCGCGCCCCCGAGGGCCTCGGACCGCTCCCGGCCCGCACACTTATGAGTCTTGTTGGTCGCAGACTGTCGTGTTCCCTGGTGTCCCACCCTCGACTTGAATCTTATACTTGCCATGGGCTGGTTGTCTGATGGTACCTGCTCTCTCTCTGTTGTTTCCCTGCTGGGATTTTTATTCTGGCTTCGGTGTTCCAGACCATGAATCGGCCCTGGCACACTATTATAAAGCATGCTTATGCTGACATAGGAGCCGATCCCGGCTCCTTCTGACTTGGCATTTTTTTTTTTTTTTCTTTCTTCACTGCAGCGGATGGTTTCAATTTCACTGTGCTCTGCTTCCAGTGCAGCATCCCGCCAGCTCCTCTCCTCATCTGATGGACATAGGTCTTTTCCACATATTCCCCTACCTAACTTGTCATGTGGCGCAACAACTTTTGTCTCCTGATTGTCAATCATCTTGACACCAGCCCTGTGCTGATCTGTTGTTGCCACTTCACTCTCATTGCACCTTGATAAAAAACCTGCAACCTTATTAGTCACTCCCAGTCTGTAACTGATGCTAAATTTAAAAGGGTGTAGTGATAATTCCCGTTATGTAATTCGCACGTTATCATGCTTGAACTTATTTAGTCATTGTAAAGGTGCATGATCCATGATTAATTTAAATTCTCACCCCATTAAATAGTATCTGAAGTAATTTATGGCCCACTTTATTGCCAGGCATTCCCTCTTAATGGGAGAATACCTGGTCTTGGTGTCATTTAATTTTTTGCTAGCAAAAGTGATTGGTCACTCCACACCTCCTTGATCCTGACACAGGACTGCACCTACAGCAGTCTCATTTGCAGGATAAAATTTTTAGAGAAATCAGGCATTACCACTACCACATCATTACACAGGGCCCTTTTCATACTTTTAAAAGCCTCTTTCATTTAAGGAGTCCACTGTATTGAACCCTGTACTGTCCCTCTTATGGCGTCTGTTAATGTGGCTGCTTTTTTCTGCAAAATGAGGAATAAACCTCCAATAACAGTTAGCCAGCCCCAGGAAGGATCTCATTTTCTACTTGTTCTGAGGTGGTAAATACTTTTCTATCATCTCTATCTTACTGGCCAGTGGATGTCCAACCATCCCTGTCCAACCCTAAAACCAAGGTAGTTAGTTTCTTGCATTCCTAGCAAGCACTTCTTAGGGTTGACCATCATCCATACCCGGCGTAATTCTTTCAGCACCTCCTTCACATGTTGCAGATGTTGCCCCCAAGATTGAGAGTATATGATGATGGGATCGATATAAGCCATGACGTAGATCATATGTGGGGCAAGGATGCAGTCCATGAGTCACTGAAATGTTACCGCAGCTCCATGAAGGCCAAACAGCATTCTTGTAAACTCAAATAGGCCTCAGGGCATACCGAAGGAAGTTTTCTGTTGGTCCCTCCTCAACATAGGTATTTGCCAATACCCTTTTGATAGATCAATTCTTGAAATATAATGGGGTTGGCCTATTCTCTCTAGTAGTTCTTCCACATGTGGCATAGAGAATTCATGAAAAAGAACGATTTCATTGATTTTCCTAAAGTCGATACATATTCAAAGGGACCCATCAGTTTTGGGTACTATTACCCAATAGTACTTCACCATGGACTGCATGAAGGTACAATTATCCCTTGTGCTAGCATCTTTAGTATTGCCTGTTGTACTCTCTCCTATAAATAATGTGGAATGGGCCTCCATCTTTCTGTGACTATGGTTCCCTTTGGACTGTTAACCCCATGTCTCACCCCTTGAGCCTGCCCAGGTTTTTCCTTAAACACATCATTAAATTCCTCTATAAGCATTCGTAAATGTTTGTGTTGCTCCTTATTAAGCTCTGAGCTTTGTGTTATTTCACTGCTTTGGGCCACTTTCTTTTCCTGCTCTCCTATCTCAGATCCTAATTCCTCCACTGGATCTTCGGGGCTCAGCATCCACCCTTCAGATTCCTGCCAGGCTTTCAACAAATTTATGTGGTAAATTTGTCATTCCTTCTGGTACCCTGGACATTACACCTCATAGTCTACAGGACCGGCTTGTTGAACTATCTTGAATGGTCCCTGCCAACGTGTCAATAACTTGTCTGCCATGGTAGGGAATAACACAAAAATTTTGTCCCCCTACCTGGAAGTCGCATACATGAGCCTTTTTGTCATACTCCTGTTTCTGCCTCTCTTGGGCCTCTGCTTGATTTTCCTGGGCCAACTGTCTAGCTGCTTCAAGTTGGTCTACCATCTCTTGCCAGTGCTATTGCACCCAAACTTCCTGCTGGCCAGTGCTCACCCATTCCTCTCTCATTTCTTGCAGTAAACCCCATGGTTAACAAGAATGGGAACAATTTTGTCAATGTCTGTGGTGTGTCCCTTAAAGCAAAAAGGAGTGATATCAAAACCAAATCCCATTTTCGGGGTTCTTCCTGTGTGCAATGTCACAACAGTCATTTAATTGTTCCATTTAGGTGTTCTACCAGACCATTGGTCTGGGGATGGTACACAGACATATGTAGTTCTCATATTTTCAACACTTGGCACATCGCTTTAATTACACTGGACATAACATTTCTACCCTGATCCGTTATTATTTCTCTTGCTAACCCCACCCTGGAAATCCATTTCAGTAATTCCTCTGCAAGGTGCTGTTGCCAACCTTAAAGGTATTGTGTCTGGGTAGCGTGTGGCATAGTTGACTATGACTAGTATATACTGATATCCGGCACTACTCTTTGTCAGGAGTCCCACTATATCTAATGCGATTCTGTGAAAAAGGTTATCAATAAGAGGAATCATCTTTAATGCCACACATGATGGCCACCTTTCTTGAACCCTTTGAGACTCTGGGCAAGCCTCACACCATCGTGTGACTTCCTCTCTCATCCATAGTCAAGAAAACCACTGCTCAATCTTGGTGAATGTCTTATTTACCCTGAAATGACCTCCCATGGGATTGATGTGTGCCAACCGCCACACTTGGCTATGGAAGGTACAAGGTACCATTAACTGCTGGGTCCACTTACCCCAAACTGGACATTTTCTCACCTGATACAATAGGCCATTATGTATCACAAAATGAGGGTCACTTACATGAAATTCTAGTCAGAAGACTTCATCCTCAACATGGGCCACCTCCTCCTCCCAAATCCTCTGGAATTCCTCATCTTCTTGTGCAGTCCAGAACTGGGGTCCTCTGGTACCCATCATAAGATTTATCCAGTCATCCTCCCCTGAAGAAGTTGCCTCTTCTTCAGCTATCCAACCCTTGACATGGGGCCAATCTTTCCATCTCAATTCATCTCTCCAGACTTCTGCTAGTTCTTCATATAGGGGTGGCCAATCTCATCCCACGATTATTTGCCCATCCAGTTCTGGTACAAATCCTACCCGCGTCTTATCCTTGTGATTGGCATTCCTTATTTTCACAAAACCTCTCTCGTACTGTTCTGATTCTCCATGTATACAGCACATCCTCACCAGCTGTCACCAATAAATGGCATGTCTGGGTACTAGCCCTGCCCAGATTAGGGTTTGTTAACAGCCAGTATCTAGAATGGCCTCAATTGGTTTACCGGCTACCCGTGCCATCACCATGGGTCTATCCCACACAGTTATTTCTTTGCTGCATCCATAGCTGCAATCCATCTCCCTGATGGGCTCACTGGCTTCAGCTCGTTGTTTCAGCCCTGTGCCCTCTCCTGTTGATTTCCACCTTTCTTGCGAGCCTATGGTGCATTCCCTGGATACATGACCAGCTTTCCTGCATCAGTAACATATCACGCTCTGCCAGGAATATCAAGATGCCCCCCCCATCGGGGTTCTTCCTCCCTCTTAATGAACACTCCTGTACTTTTATAACTTTTTTCTCTGACATGCTTCACTTCAGATGCCATGAAGTCCTCAGCAACTCTTAATGCCTCTTCAGCCATCTTTGGTAAGTGCCAACATACCCATAGTTGCGTTTCATTATCCAAATCTTTTATGAATTGTTCTAATAAAATTTGGTCGGCCAGAGATGCCTGATCCACCTTTCCCGGAGGTACCCATTTGTCCAACAGGTCCTTTAAAAGTTGCATGAGGTTTCTGGGTTTACAGTCCTTTTTCCCTTTCTGGGCTCAGAATAATTTCTGATAATGCTCGGGTGTGAGTTCAAGATGGTGCAATATTGCCACCTTTACCTTTTCATAATCATAGGCATCTTCCCTCGGTAAAGCCTGGAACATGGCTTGTGCTATGCCCATGACAAGGGATCCCAGCTGGCTTGCCCACTGGAATCTGTCCAGCCCTGTCTGTATAGCTGTATGCTCAAACAATTCAATGTAAGCTTCAACATCATCCTCATGGGTCATCCTATGCATTCGGAATGTTGTCCAATTTCTTCGCATCCATTCATGTTGTTGTAATGCCTACTGCTGTTGGACTTCTAATACTTTCATCACCACATGTAATGTTTGACCTAATAATTTGATCTGAGGAGCTATATTAACTTCCATGTCAGCCTCTAGGATTACTTCTTCCAAATTCCTGGCCAATGCACCAATTTGTAACTTCCTGTGCCTTTCACCTGTGAGTTGGGTCTGTATGGGTTTTTTCTGATTTGGTCATCATTTTAAGGGAGGAACAAGCTTGTTAATGGACTGGACCTTAGTCAGTATCCCGGGGAGGAGGGGGTCTCACCTGCAGTGTCTTTGCTGGAAAATGAATTTTGATGGAGAGGAAGATGATTTATCCCGTCCCTCCTCGTATCTTCCTTCAGTCATTCTGGTTGTCCTTCCTGCTTGGGGTTCCACCTCCCCTACACACCGCCTAACACCAAGCAAAGATGTTGTTGCTTGGGTTACCAGGATTATTATGATGCACCCTTTTGTGCCTTAGACCTTTGGATTTACTATGGCCGAATCGGGATGTTATTTGACCCGTTTCATCATGTCCACATCTTGCCTTACTTAGGAGTCTTGTTGGTCACAAACTGTCATGTTCCCCAGTGTCCTATTCTTGACTTGGGTCTTATACTTGCTGTGGGTTGGTTGTCTCTGGTTCTGTCGAGATCCAGTTTGTGCTGTGGATCTCTGTTGTCCACAGAGTTACTTCCAGTAAGTTATAGAGCTGTTCCTGGCTCTGCCTCTTCAATAAAACCCCTTCCTGGGGTAGCCACCATGTCCCTGGGCTAGGACCACATTCAATATCTGGCCCTCTGGGCTGGTTGAGAACCTCGCTTCTGGTCCCCCATGCTGTTTCCCTGCCTGGCTTTTTATCCTGGCTTCAGTGTTCTGGGCCATGTATCGGCCCCAGCACGCTGTTGTAAAGTATGCCCATGCTGATGTAGGAGCTGATCCCGGCTCCTTCCAAATCTGCAGGGTTTTTTTCTTTTCTTTCTTCACTGCCACAGGCAGGAATTCTGAGGTTTCACTTTCACTGCACTCCGCTTCCCGCACAGTATCTTGCCAGCTCCTTTCCTCGTCTGATGGAGGTAAGTCCTTTCCATACCTACGTATCAGGCATGTGTGAAGTGGACTGTATTTGATTCAGATCTGAATTTGGCCTGAATCAGGGACAGTGATTTGATTAATTGATTTGGATCACTGTCCCTGATTCGATTTTGCCAAATCCAAATCTGAAAATTCAATGCTGATTTGGAGAATCAGCAGTTTGACCATAGACACAGCTTTAAATGTTTTTTTTTCTACATACTGTGAGGTACCGGGAATGGCTCACGAATGCTGAGATGGTGGGGTGGATGGAGCATCCCACAGGAGTGTTGTGGAGCAGGACCCACATGGTTGATGGTGAACCCGGAAGTGGACCAGAAGTATTTCTGGTCCACTTCCAGGTCCACCAGGGAGCACACTGGGCCCTTGCACCCACCTGGCTTGACGATCAGCCACAGAGAGACCCCAGGTGCCCCCCCCCAGACCAAGAAGGCACCAGTTGCCAAGCCTGGAGGTATGCAGGAGGGCCCCCCACATGCTCCGAAGCAGACCTGGAAGTGGACCAGGAGTGCTTCTGGTCCACTTCCGGGTATGCTGCTGAGCATGCTGGAGAGCCCCCCGCACTCCTGTGGGACACTCCATCCACCCCAACATCTCAGCATTCATGAGCCATCTGGTACCTTGAGGTATGTAGATGGCTTTGGACATAGACACAGCTTTAAATGTTTTAAAAAAACATTTAAAGCTGTGTCTATGTCCAAATCTCCAAATCTTTCCAAACCTCTCCAAATTGATTCGGAGAGTTCCAATTTGGAGAGATTAAAAGGTCTCCTGATTTGATTTGGAGATTCGACCATTGAATTGGGGCCAAATCTCCGCCAAATTGAATCAGGGATCGAACTTTGCACAGCCCTACTACTTATCCAATGCAGTAATGGAATCTTAATCAGGCCTATCCTAAGAATGCAATTTGGAAAGGATTCCATTTAAATTCCTTGGGGATATACTCAAGTGCACACATATTTGCTAATGGTATAAGTACTGTGTTCAATGTCTAGTTAATTTTATTTATATTTTCTTTCCAAAAATAATTGATCATAGGGGATGACCAAACTTTTATACTAGTAGTATATCTAATTTTTTAAGTTTAGACAGAACCCATGGCAAAAGAGAAACGATCTTTTGCTGTTAAAGATGAAGACTAAGTTCAATTGTCAATATTTGAGTACTTCAAATTTCTGATTTCCAGTGGAAATCCATCATCTACCCAGATCTACATTCCATTTCAGTTTTAAATGGTCTGTATCAGGTCTGTTCTGTGACATTTTATGTTCACAGTGTGATGGCACAGAATGGGGAAGAGAATCAGATTTCAAAGAAAAAAAAGAATATATCTTGTATATTTGCTATATTTAAAGCCTCAGCTTCAAACTGGGCATGTCTATATGTCTACACGAGATGCTGACCATTCAGTAGTTCATTACTACTGTGCAGTAGTGTCATGTCACACTTCATGCCAAGTGATACTAGTGCACAGTAGTAATGAGGTACTCCACAGTCCACCTAAAGCCATGCAGTGATGCTGCTGTGCAGTAACTCTAGTTACTGATCACTCATTTGTGTATACAAGTACTAAATGACTGCACAGTAATGCCTGTGCAATCAGCGTCTTGTGTAAACACAGCCACTTATTTTCTAATATTTGATGCAATGGCATATATTCCCATTCAGCTTTCTTGAAGTGACAGATTCATTACATATAACTCAGAAAAGAATTCAATATGATTTCCTACTGGAAGCTGTTCTGCATGCACAATATCTTTATCTTTCCACTTTCTGTACATCAGTGTGTGGGACCCATACTTCAAAAAGTGATTGCCCCAGATAGTAGTGTTCCAATGTAATGAAGGATAAAACTTCAGTAAGTGTGGCAAATGTTTCCAATCTTGATGGGCTGCAACATTTTTTAATGCACCAGAGAGTGGATTAGTATTTAGCCACTTATAAAGAAATTGGGATTGTTTGGAAATCTCAAATTTATGATTCAGAGGCTGAAATCCTATCAGCACCAGGACTTATTGGGAGTCTTGGCTTGAGTTCATCTCTAGCTCTTCAAATATTTATGGATAGTATGTGGCTAAGAGGATATGCTGAGGGCACTATGAAAATGTACACAACTACCTATTTGGGTGCCTGGCTAGGGTCTGCTATGGTGCTGCAGAGTGTGGAAGCATCACAGTCTTCAGCAGTACTCTGCTTATGATTTGCCAAACTATGACTGTACCTAGATGTTTCAAATAAAACATTTCAGGTTTCTTCCCTCCCCTCCACCTGCCCTGCCTGCCCTGGCACACACTTTTTCTAATGTTTTAACAATTTCAGTAATATTATGACTAGCTCCATTATAGTTATGCTCTAATCTGGGGTCATTATAGAAAGAGCCATATCTGAAGCGAAAGGTCTTAGATAAATACAGAATATAGAAAAAAACAAACAAGCAGAAAACCCCCAAATAAACCCAAAATCACCATGTTCAGTGCTTCCAGTTGGTTATTTTTATTTATCAAAGAGTCCTGTATAGTGCTATAGGGCTAAGATGATGTTTAATACAAAGTGGACAGTGCTAAACAAAGTATCTCCTCTTGTATCTTTCACTCCATTCATTCTTATAGTCCAGTGGATGTGGAAGATTTTGTTGGTTGAGGAACTGAATATAGCATACTTTGCCATTCAGTGTAGTTTAGGTATATTCTGAAAAGTGGAATCATCAAGAAAGAATAAAATTTAAGCAAGGTTCAGATACCTGGAAATTAAGGTCCTTGAACCATTTGCTTTTAGAGCACCCGATATGTAATGAGATTGTGTAAATTAGTCAATGTTACATTAAACATAGTACACAATATTATAGGAAAATATGTCTCTTCTTTACAAGCTTGTAAAGCCTAGCTAAACAAAGGTTGGGAAGGAAATATGATTATTCTTTGCATTTGGGAGGAATGGAGTAAACAACAGGGAGAAGGAGAACTAATTAAGGTATCGAATAATACAAGTGTGAGATCAAAAGGGTATATTTTGATCATGCATAAATTAAGATGCAACCAGACACCTAATAAGGATTATTCAGGTGAGGAAGGGGACAAGCTGAGGGAAGAGATAAAGATATGGCCAGAGAGCTTTAGGTGGGTCTGAATGAATTCAAGTCATCAGGGCTCGATGAACTTCATACCAGGGTCCTGAAGGAACTGGCAGAGAAAATATTGGAGCCCTTGACAATGATCTTCATTGAGTAGTGGAAGATGGGCCAGGTACCAGAAGACAGGAAAAGGGCCAATGTAGTGCCCATCTTTAACAAAGGCAAAAAGGAGGACCTGAGGAACTACAGAGCTCTTAGCCTCTTCTCAATACCTTGCAAGTTACTGAAGCATATTCAAAGGAAGGCCATCTGCAGGATGAAAGGCTGATCACAAGTAGCCAGCATGGATTTATGAAAGACAAATGTCAAACAAACTTGATCTCTTTCTTTAACTAAGTAACTATTTGGGTTGGTGAAAGAAATGCTGTGGATATAGGGTATCTGGACTTCAGCAAGGCTTTTGACAAGGTCCCATACAACCTCCTCATAAACAAATTGGAGAGATATGGACTAGATAAAACTACTACAGATAGATAACTGGATAGATAAGTGGATCAATAGCTGCAAGAAAAGGGAAATCATTAACAAGTCCATATCAGAATGGTAGGAAGTTGAGTGGAGTCCCACAGGGGTCTGTCCTTGACCTGGTGCTGTTCAATATGTTTATTATTTTGGATGCCAGCCTAGAAAAATTCTTAAGCAAATTTGCAGATAACACAAACCTAGAAAGAATTGCAAACGTGTTGAAGGATGTGAGAGCAATTCAGAAGGATCTTGATAAATTGGAAAGGCAGGA